ATGCATTAAGGAAATTGAAACTAGGAGATATAAGATGGTGAACCAGGCCCTGGAAGACCCTTAACCATACCTGAGAGCTGAAATCTTTGAGATGATCGAGTTGATTTCCTTTTTACCCTTCTCCTCGCTAGGGATCAAATGACAATACAAGCTGATAAGTTAATCCCACAAACACAAAAGGTAACAAAGATAGATACAAACTGTGCCAACTACAAGACTAATGAATATAAGCACGGAAAAGGGACCTAGTCTGAGAAATCTACGACGAAGAACATCGTTAAATCTCTGTTCAGAAACCTCTTCAATCCGCCTGCCACTGAACTCTCCCAAGTTATCAAAGAAATAACACTTGCAAGAAGCATTTGCTGGGAATAAATCACAATGCGAAGCACCTAAATGACACAAAATTCATTACAAAAAAAAAAGACAAATCAATTCCAGAAACATCTTGCATCCTTTCCATTTTGAGAATCAATAAATACATAATTTATTTGACAACAAAGTTTACAGAGAGAAAAATACTTTCAGCATCCTTGAGATCTTCCTGGAGTTTGATAATCTCTTTCTTCCTATCTTTAGCCTAATTTTCAAAACCGAAAACTCAACTGTGTTAGAAACCGAGAAAACACAATCGTATAAGCAGAGAAGCCCTAGATTCAAAGCGACGAACACACATCGAAACGTAACCCTAGAAATCTAGGACAGAATTGTAGCAGATTTCACTAAGAAAACGAAGGCACTTAAACCCCAAAAAAACAACGAACCCAGAAATCGAAATGTATCCCTAGAAATTCGAAGACGAAATGGTAGCAGAGAAATCAGATAGTAGTCACGGAGAGTAACAAGAAGGCACTTAAACCCCAAAATCAAATAAATCGAGGAGGCACCTTCTGCTTCCAGCGAAGAGCTTCAGTTTCAGAGAAAACATCAGAGCGAGAGGTAGAAGAAGAAGATCGACGGTTCTGGATCTTCGATCGTAGCAGAGAAACAGCGATCGCCAGTCTCAGTGATTCTTCCTTCTCCATGTGATTTGCTTCAGCGACGCTCGAACTCATTTCGTTCAAATTAAAAAAAAAAAAAAACAATTAATTTCGAGATAATGATGATCGACGTTCCTGCGCGGGAGAACATGGTGACACTTTACATAGCCCAATCAGGCCCATTAGTAGGGCCACTTTGATAAAATAAGAGTTATTTGGGTCACTTTGTAAACAATATAAATTATTTGGGCCAATGGGTAAAGCAGATAAAGTTACTTGGGCCTACTTTCATAGATAGACTATTATAAACATTGGACTGAGTAGTTGGCGGGTTGAGCCTGGCCCGTGCAGTAGTGCAACGCATGGGCGACTCGTGGAAGCCCAGATAGCAAGCTATCTTGATGGGCTTTCTCCCTTAAAAAATAGAGTTAATATCGTGTGAGCCGATGGCCCACATATCAGATATTAAACTGATAAGAACAGATACTACACTTGATCTTAGCCAAAAGGCCGAGAAAGGTATGGATTGCTAAGTTGCGTGGCCTCTTTATTTATACTAGTTCTCTCTTTTTAGACGCTTTCTTTGTTAGCGATGTGGGACTTTGAACAAGTTAAGACGAAAATC